CTGTGGGTTCTCAAATAGGCATAACTGGACAGCATATGTATTTGTATATCTTTATCTATAACTATATATTAATCTATCTGTCTATATACATGTATATTTGTTCACACACACACACACTATATATATATATATATATATATATATATATATATATATATATATATATATATATATATATATATATATATATATATATATACACACACAAACACACATATATACACATACACATAATACATATATACATACATACACACATACATACATTCATGCATACATACATAAGTACATATACATGTGTATTATGTATGTACACATCTATCTACCTGTCTGCCTATATATATGTATAAATGCATGGTAGGTATATTTTTCATTCACGTGAAAATGTTTCAAGACCGATCCCGAGGGTTTTTGTTCTGCAAATCCAAGAAAAGTGACCTCCGGCAGGTTCGTGAAGGAGTCGCCCCGTTGGCTCGTGCAGAGCGGGAGCGGCAGGGAGGCGGCGGCAGAGCTGGCGGAGGCTGCCAGGAAGAACCGCGTCGAGCTCCCCTCCCGCCTCGCGTCTTACCTAGAGAAGATGAAGGAGGTCGGCCTATGAAGTCTTTAGGAAGAGTATCAGAAATAACTCGTTCGAATAACTTGCTTGAAAACTTGGAGATATAATATCTAAACATCTTAACATTCCTCTTGTATCTCGTTTCGTAGGATACCTGCGGGTTATCCGGCGGCGAGAAAGAAAAGGTAGCGCTGAAGCAGCTCTTCGCCGCGTCCTTCAGCAGCTATGGCGAATACCTGCGCTCACCTGCTATGCTGATCATCATTTTCATTACACCTCTGATGTATTTCCTTATGTGTCTCCTCTACTATGGAATCATCCTCAACGTTAACAATTTTACGAGGTATAGGCTATTTTGTTTAGTTTATTCTATAAATACAATATATATATTTTCCTTCACAGATATGCAAAGTCGGGAAAGACAACATTTGAAGATCTGATCACACATTTTTTTTTTCATTTGCGATTTCTAGGGTTCCAGCTTGGGCCACCGCCATCAGACTACTCTAAAAAATCTTTAGAAAACATATGGTTAAAACTTTACAGATTCCACATCGGTCCTCATCCAGTGCAGGTGTCTGTTACATTAAACCTTGCAGTAGTAGTTTAGTAGCATTCGGATAGCCGGTCGAATAACTCACTCACCTCACGTCCCTCTAGGTCCACCACATTTTGTTCTGGGTAAATATCTAACGAATCGCCGCATCCTGTTATGGACATCTACAATGGATATTTCCGTATACGCTACAGCGAACATTTTAAAAATATAGTCGAAGTAAAGACAAATGTCTCCTATTTGTACAATTACTCACTTTCTTCAACCTTTTCTTATTCCTTTTCTTCTAGCACGAATCCCTTCCAGTACATAGCCATGTTAAGCGTGTTTGAGATCGTGTCGGTGCTGCTGGCCACGCCCGTGAACCAGCTGGTCGGCCGCCGCCACGTGATCGGGTCGACGCTGCTCCTCGCCGGGGCGCTCTTCCTCGCCGTCATGTTCGTGCCCGAAGGTGCGTGGGCGGGCGGGAGAAGGGCTTCCTGCGCAGGGATGACTTGGATCGAGAAAGTCCGGTTGGCGTGAGAAGACGATGGAAAGAGAGATAAATTGATAGATAAAACACAAAATTGTGTGTATGTACACACACAGACACACACACACACACACACACACACACACACACACACATATATATATATATATATATATATATATATATATATATATATATGTGTGTGTGTGTGTGTGTGTGTGTGTGTGTGTGTGTGTGTGTACATACACACAATTTTGTGTTTAATCTATCAATTTATCTCTCTTTCCATCGTCTTCTCACGTTTCTCGATGTCATCCCCTGCGCAGGAAGCGCAGAAGTGTGTGTGTGTGTATGTATGTATGTATGTATGTATGTATGTATGTATATACATACACACACACACACGCATACATATATACATAAAGAGAGAGCGAAAGAGAGAGAGAGAGAGAGAGAGAGAGAGAGAGAGAGAGAGAGAGAGAGAGAGAGAGAGAGAGAGAGAGAGAGAGAGTGAGTGAGAGAGAGAGAGAGAGAGAGAGAGAGAGAGAGAGAGAGAGAGAGAGAGAGAGAGAGAGAGAGAGAGAGAGAGAGAGAGAGAGAGAGAGAGAGAGAGAAAGAGATGAGAGAGAGAATGAGTGACACACACACACACACAGAGAGAGAGAGAGAGAGAGAGAGAGAGATACAGAGAGACAATGAGAGAGCTAGAGACAGCGAGAAAGACAGAGACAGCGAGAGAAACAGAGAGAAGGGAGGAGGGGGGTAGACAGAGGCAGAGAAAAATTGAGAGAGAAAGAGATTGAGAGAAAAATTGTGAGATTGTGAGAGACTGAGAAAGAAAGATTGAGACAGATTCAGATTCAGATTCAGATTCATATAGTTTATTAGCCAAAATATGTACAGTTATAAAATTACATAGAAACATATTGATACATTGGCTGAGCATCTTGAGAGTAAACTCTCCTCAGATGTTCCGTGAAAGCTGTCTATATACATGTATATGACTAATAATTTACAAAACTATACACTAATGATTTACAAAGTTATGGTACTTAGACTTCAAAACAAAATAGTATATAATGAAATAGGAAAATAGGTATTTTAGGGAACATATGATAGAGATGACTATCTATCGAGATGACATAATATATGATTTTAAAAGTTTCTTAAAAGACACTATAGTTATACTGTTCCTAACATGCTCGGGTAGGTTATTCCAGATTTTTGGCCTCGATACAGAATGCAAGACTGTGATTGTGAGGATTGCATTAAGGGAATGTGCAGGATGTTACAGTTTCTGAAAGCGTACCTTTGGTTTACTCTGTACGAAAAAAAGTTAGTAGTGTGGGAGAAGATCGATTTAAACACGAAGAGTGAAGTGAAATATCGCTCAATTTCATTAATTTTTAAAATATTTAGTTCATTAAAGGCATTAATTGTGGATGCATACCTTGATAGACCTGCCATTGTTCTAATTACCCTTTTTTGTGCCTTCACTAGTGGTTGCAAAGAGGTAGTATGAGCTCCTCCCCATACCACTATACAATATGTCAAATGAGGATATATTAATGAGTAATATATTGATTTCATTGCCTTAACAGTTAACATGTGTCGGGTATGATATAATATAGCACATTCCTTGTTAATATTTGCTTGAATTTTGTTGATATGATCTTTCCATGTAAGTTTTTCGTCTATATGTAGACCCAAAAATTTAGTACTTGTTTCCCGTTTGATTACATAAGGTCCAATCTTTAATTGTGGGAGGTCATTAGGAATTACTTTATTCCTATTAAAAATGAGGAAATGAGACTTCTCAGTATTTAGAGTTAATTTGTTGCTTAATAGCCATTTCAGTATTTTCTTAAGTTCCTCATTAGCCATAGTGATGAGATGATGTAATGAGGGACCCGATGCATAAATGTTGCTGTCATCTGCGTACAGTATGAATTTAAAAAAGGAGCTAGTGGATACAATGTCATTGATATACAAAAGGAATAAAACTGGGCCCAAAATGGAACCTTGTGGTACGCCATACGTTATAGATTGCATGGAGGAGGCTTTTTTGTTACAGAGAACATATTGCATTCTATTGCTGAGGTAAGATTTAAACAAACTGAGAGACGTATTCCTGATTCCATAATGTTCCAGTTTAGACAGTAAGATGTTGTGGTCAATGGTATCAAAGGCCTTGGATAAATCCAAAAATAAGCTTAATACAAATTCTCGATTGTCAAAGGCTCTGTACACATCATTGGTAAAAGTAGTGACTGCTATATCTGTAGATTTGCTGTTTACGAAGCCAAATTGACATGGTGTTATGATATTTGAGTCAGCAAGATGCTGCAGTAGTTTGGTACAAATGATTTTCTCTAGTATTTTACTAATTGCTGGCAAAATTGAGACTGGTCTGTAATTTTTAAGTAAGTGCTTATCTCCTGACTTTGGTATGGGTATGACTTTAGCAACCTTAAGTTTATTAGGGAATAATCCAGAGACTAGTGAGCAGTTTATGATATGTAATAAAGGTAAAATGATTTCTGGAAGGATGTGTTTGATGATCGTCATTGAAATATCATCCTTGCCTGGAGAGGAATTTTTCAATTTTTTTGTAATGTTAATGAGTTCAGCTTCTGTAATTTGCTCAATTGTGAAATTAGTTATAATCCTGTCACCAAGAAATTCTAAAAAATTATGACTGCAGGTTCAACTGATCTGGCAAGTTCTAATCCAACAGCAGAGAAATACTCGTTGAAGTGGTTAGCTACTTCTGTTGCGTCGGTAACTTCAACGTTGTTGACTTTTAGTGTGATTTTTTTGCGATTGCTTTCCTCTGTTCAAAATTGTATTAATAACCTTCCATTGAGATTTACTACTACTTGCATTTTCTTCCAATTTTTCAGAAAAATATCTAGATTTGGCTTCCCTTAACCTGCGGGTAACTAAATTACGGAGCCTTTTATATTCCTCTCCGTAGGTCAAAGGCCATTTGGCATATTTCCTCTGTACTTTATTTTTATAATTAATTAAGTTTTTTAGTTCTCTGTTGATATAAGGTTTGTTGATGTGTTTGTTTTTTATAATCTTTGATTTTAAAGGGAGAAACTTATTGAAGCTTGCACTTATAATAGTTTCAAAGTTTTCATATGCAACTTCAGGATTTAATGCTGAATATACAAGATCCCATGATACTTGGGATAACTGCTCTCTGAGTTTATCAATATTTGCTGGACTGAACTCCCTATATTCAATAACTTTCGTCTCACTCGATTTTAGGTTGTTAAGGCTAATGTACGAGAAGATGGGAAAATGGTCTGTTATGTCAGAGTAAATTATACCGTTAGTTTTGGATCTGTTGATTTCATTTGTCCAGATATGATCGAGAATGGTGGCCGATGTAGCAGTTACTCTAGTTGGCTTCGTTGTGACACAAAAAAAACAATTTGCTATTGAGGAGACCAACAAATTCTTGCATGGTTGTCGAACAAGTTAAAAGATCCAAGTTAAAGTCTCCAGCAAGTATGCATAGTTTGTTTTCAGAACATGCAGTTGTGAGGATATCACTTAATTTTTCCATGAAGCTATGAATATTACTTTTTGGCCTTCTATAAATCTCCCCAACTAGAACATTCTTTGTTGGTGTTTTAATTTCAGCAAATACTGATTCAATGGCATTTTCACTGTAAGTGAGATCAGTTCTGAGAACGGAGTTGAGTCTCTCATGTACATACAGAGACACACCACCGCTTTCCTAGACCGGTTATTAAAATAAGCATTATATTGTGGTATTTCAAATAAATGTTGAATATCATTACTTAGTCTGGTTTCACACAATCCAATAATGTCAAAGGCTTCACCATTATGAACTATGCATTCCGCTAGTAATGTCTCGAGATGTTCCGGGGCAGATCTTATGTTATGGCTTAAGATGCTGACTTGATGCTCTTTAGCATTACTGTGGATGTGAGAGTTACAATTTGCTGCTCCAGGGAATACATAGTTGCATAATGGATCGGTCATCCCGAGCGAATTTTCTATAAATAAGTCAGGATCATCATTTGAAAATTCGACATCGTTATCACATGTAAAGTTATTATATTTCAGAGTTTCTAAAATGTCTAATGAGATTACAGGGTTTGGTGAATCTGATAGAAGACAGATTAAATCATCGTCATTAATGTTATAAAAGGGTAGATTGTCCAACAGTACCATAATGGAAATATTTACATAAATATCACGTCGATATTATCTACTTTTTCACTCACAGCTGTTTTTTCCTGGTTCCGGTGGCTTCGATCTCAGGGCCATTCCAGCGTTACTGTCGTGTGTCGTACCTAGTTTGGGGTTTGCTGGTTTGACGTGGTGTGCGAAGAACGTGGCGGGAGTCCGCCAGTCGTGGCACCAACAGCTCCGGCAGCCATGGTACTGGAAGAAGAATCCGTGGCAATGGATCCATTGGTCAGCGGCATCATGTGTGGCACAGGGGCATCAGCATCCGTGGCACCAGAGGCATCCATTGCATTGGAGGCAACAGAAACCGAGGTACTAGCCAGGAAAGCACCAGAGGTTTCTGTTAAAGTGGTGGCGGCGTCGACGTCTGTGGCACTGGAGGCACTAAGCGTGGCAGAGGAGGCATCTCTGGAGATATAGGTAGACTTAGCATTTCCGTCAGCGAAACCTGGTGGGGGAACACTAGTGTCACACTCGAGGAAGAGTGTGGCTGTGTGCACGGCGGTGGGCCCGTGGGTGTTCGAGGCTCCTGTTGACCCCATGCAGAATCAGACGGGAAATGAGGAGCTCTTTGCATGAATGGTGATGCGGGCGGCGATGAGGGAGCGGAAGGAACCGATGGCGCCGTTTGTCTACTGGGTTCTCGAGGACGCACTGATCTCTGCCTCTCCTTTATTACCAACTTGCGGTAATTGAAGTATGCTACTTTCCCGTCTCTCTTGGCGGCTCGTAAGGCTGGCATCTGGGCT